CAACATTCTTTTGACCTCCAAGACATCAAATCACTCAGTCTATGTCAGGGATGGGGAAATAAATTTAAAAGAGGGCCACATAAAATAATTAGGTACACCATTTAAGCGGGCCAAAAAGGATTTATATAAGTAACAAAATCAGCTTGAGAAAAATTATTGTTTCAATATCCTGGGTTAGTGTCACAAATGAAATTTTGACCATTCATTCATTATAGCGTCGAAATTTGGGACATATTTAGCCATGTTAAAGTAACTTAGTGGCACCTATCATCAGCAACAAAATGAAATTACATGTGAAATCAAAGTTTATTACGAGGTTTATTAGTTACATTTCGTCATTGAATAAGAGGCTTATTCAATGATTTCGTTTAAATGAGCCGCAATGAATTGGTGAGTTTATAACATCTTGATCAGTCAATGTCAAATAAATCACGGCCTCAAATTGCCTGGAGTATGATTGAAATTTGAAAGTAATTTTAACCTTTATTACAGGGTCGCATAAATTAGACAATAGAAAAAATAATACGTTAGGTACGTTATAATTAATGATGTGTTTAATATATATTACATACCTACTACCGAAGCGAATTATTTAGGTTCCATTTCTAATTGCCTATTTGTATTTCTATTTATCTACCTATAATAGGTAGGTACAATAATTGTACTTTTATATTATAGTCTCGCACAACCAACGTACGTAACATCAAATTACATTACAGCACAATGATGACACTTCCTTGTTATAAACAATTAGATACTTAGTAACTTAGGTACCTACTGTTCAAATTATTTTTTTTAACACTACCTAATTAAGTGAAATTATAAAAAAACTAAATGTTAATTGGTTAACATTTGTGGTATATTTTTATTATGAATGAAAATATTCCATTCACTCACGAACTCGCTATTGTTATATGGGTCTAGCTATTATTATGAAGACAAATACGTGTTTAACTAAAATGTTAATAAGTACTAAATTTTAACCTTGCAGTAGCAGAAGAAGAAGGTTACGTTATACGTAAAATAAATATAATATTCCCGTATTGCGTTATTCCACTGACGTTTTTTATCACTACTACCCCCATTAAGGTTTCGTACAAAATTAGGCATGCGTTATGCGCTGTTTTGCGTTCAAAAATAAGGTTTTGGACTTTTAGGATTTTCCATTTCTTTCATTTTCAAAAATGGCGTTCTCCAAAATATTAGGCATGACCAATTGGTCCCAAGTAAATGGGGTACCTATTTCGCGCGTGTGCTGTTCTTCACTAGGTATACCATCAACACACGACTGGCATCTTGAACTGAATAACGAAAATAGGACTGAAACAACTGAAACCTTGGCCCAACACTCGTTAGTTTCTTCAACAGGAAACTCTAATTGGCATCCGAAATCGAGTAAGGTGAAAAATAGAAACACGTGGACCCCTAAAACTAGATAAATCCAAAATTGCATCTGACTGAAAGCTAGATGGTCTCGAAAATAGGGGAACAAGTAAAAATCTCAACAACAGACAAAATTTATTTATTTATTTATTATCCCTCTCTTAAAATTTTAAAAATATCTAGTGGGCCTATTGTTACACCAGAATTCTAGGACCGCTTTTACACGGCGTTACAGTCGCTCGGATCCACCTGAAACATTGCGTCTTATGGAGCCGTTCACGCACGCATACACCTGCATCTCAGGCAACAAACGTAGCTAGCTAACTAGATTGATTCTATTTGTGGTATTAATAGTTTAAAAAAAAAGTGGCACAGGGTCGCGAAAACCCCAAGCCCGTATCTTTAAAAACAGCTGAGATACACCGCAGTTTCAACCAAAATAGGACACACGGTACAGCACAGTCACGTAATGTCATGTGTTCTTGGTTGTTTCCAAAATCAATCTTGATTGCTTAAAGAGAATAATGGTCGACTTTACCACGCGTCCGTTGTCGGCCCGAAGATCTATGTCTTTCGATAATCGATCGGTAGTAGCGACGGGAAGTGTGTACAAAGGGCAGGTACTACCGCGACGTCTACGCGCGAAGCGTGGCGCTTTCGGCTATTAGGCCGAACAGGACTTGTTTGTTATCGGAATTAACCAGACAAATCGCTTTACCAACTAAGAACAGTCATGCACCACCACCCACCGAATCAAGAAAGAGCTGTCAAATCTGACAGTGTCTGGCCCTGGTGAAGTTTCCCGTATTGAGTGTAATAATTGAATAAGTAATTATAATTACTTATTCAATGGTGTAATTGAGCGTTGAATTTTCTCAATTATTAAAGTATTCCGGTGGTAATTTCTTTTAATTCATTATCATGATACCTTCTATCATTAGTAAATTATATACACACCGTATAATCAAGGTTTCCATGTTTGTATTTGCCACAACATGGCGGACGGGCTGAATTGTTCCCACTGTCTTGTATACAGATGGTATACAGTCACTGTACCCACGACTACAGTGTCCCCTATCCGTGACCGTCCATTTTGCATTTCTGGCAATTGTATTAACTCTGAGATGACGCTTTAACGTTTCTCATAACGTACGGTGTTACAGCACGTTACGCCGGTGCTAGCGTTCACTTTTTTTGAAGTGACGGGCGAGGAGGAGCATTAGATTGTTGCAATATTTCCGCGCTATAGGAGCGGTGGTGTTCCTACGCTATGAAACAGCGGTAGGTGTTTAGATCTACGCTATTGATAGCGGTAGACCTGGAGTAGTTCCACGATACGGGGGCGCTGACGCAGACTCAATTTGGCGCTATGACATTAGGTTAGGACGCCTACATTTGACCGCAAGACAGTAGACCGCAGTAATTGGGACGCGAATATTAGGACACGGACATTAGTACGCACTACGCAGACATTGTGACGCGAACAGTAGAACGCAAGCATCTAGTAGATCACCTTACAAAGCAAGAGATTAGGTCGCAGGTAGGAAAATAAAAGGTATAACTAAATTAAACCTCTTATTTCATCTGTGTATGCGCTCTAACGTCTAATCCTAGCCTAGGATTCTAATGTCTGCGGCCTATTTCCTTTGCGGTCTATTGTCTTGCGGCCCAATGACGGCGTCCTATTGTCCGGTCACCTCAATTTGTATGCCGATGCACGCTCTTTTATACCCCATTTCTGTGGTGTCCACGAACTTATAAATTAAAATGGACTGCTAATGCTAAATTGACAAATGACACCAACATGGGGGCGGCCATGATGTGTACTCACTATAACCTCACATTTCGATGAAAGTGAGTGAGCTTTTTATTGAGATTGTGGAAAATGTGGGGATTCTTCCGCAATTTTTTTTTTGTTGAAAGCGCTTAATTAAGGTACCCTCGACCTATTGTTATTAATTTCATGATCAGAGCTTGGGGTCCGTATAACGCTAACCCCATATACTGATATCTGTCTGATGAAGGTATACCTACCTGGTCCACTATTCTTAATAGGTACCTCATATTACATACCTACATTCTTAAAAAATTAAGAACAGTAAAAAACTATATTGTGGTGGCTTTTTGAGTGGCGTACCTAGTCAGTGAAGATTTCTGTTGATAAAAATTCTTAAAGATTATGAATGTATAATTAAAATTCGACTGTTGATAGTTCCATGTAATTCGAGACAACCATGCAAATTTAGATTTGGATTCGTGTATGGAGCTCTCCATGATTTTAGTTTCGACTATATTGATCTTGTCATTATCTTAATTAACATTTCCAAACGATTGTTTTTCAGAATGTACTGCTTTTTAAATATAGCGAGATTCCTTTAAGAGTACATATGTACAATTTTTCTCTGTACCCTTTTAAGAGATTTTAAATTGGATTACAGGGAACTTAAACAACATCTGTACACAAATGCCACTCAAAATTTGGAAGTTTGCGCCTTATTGTAATCTTTAAGTTAAACACGAGCACACATAAATGAAACTTTATTCACTACAAAACCGAAAAATTAAATGTATTCATTCCCTGCTGTAATGTAATGTTGATACATAAGTTGGCAAGTAGTGCTGAATGTTGGCACTTTACCTATTGTACAGATTCATCAACATTTTTTTTCTTTGTGGATATTTATGTCTCATTCGAAATGTCAAACTCTAAATATTATGCTCGCCAGGAGCGAATGCCGGTCACAGAACGGCTGATAGCGGTCTACAATCGTATGTTGTTCATATTAAACCATACAATTTATTGCAGTAGACCAGCATCAAGTTGTCTATCAACACTTCATCACAGTAGCTACCATCATTTGTTAATAGATGCTATTTAAAATTCGATCTAAAATGTCCAAAACTTTGATGTGGTACAATGATATTCATGTAGAAGTAGACATGGAGATTTCCTATGTCTACTTTTACATGATAGTCTTCTAAAGGACGCCTTTATGCAACCAAAATAACCATCCTACAACAAATGAAGATCTGCCTGTTATATTAATTAATTTGAATATTATCGCTTTGACTTCCGTATTCTAATTTTCGTTCGTGTGTGATGTATTCAACTAAAGAAAAATTTGATATTTCCAATTGGTATGGTGCCGGTAATAGTTAAATGAGATTAAGAGATTTATTTGCAGTGAAGCCAAAGCAACAATATTCAAATTAATAATTAATATGACAGCCAGATGTTTATTTGTTTCATGAAGTTATTTTGGTTGCATAAAATTAGGCATCC